GAGCGTCGTGCTAATAACGCGAAGGTCACACGTTTGAAACTACTTCATCCAATTGGTTAATTTTTGTTACTATTATATACAACAAGTTTCATGTGTCATTATTTCCATATATGAAAATATGGTGTGTTTTGTAGATCTTCCTGAACTTATGAATGATGTGCAATGTGAACCAAAATGGTTTGCATCTACAAAATCCATCTTAATTATTTTTTACATCAAGGTACTTTCTAAAATAATAGTTTGTACTATGCATTTTATTAGTTGCAGTACATAGAAGCCATAGATACACATCAAGGTATTTTCTAAAATAATAGTTTGTACCCATATTTTATTGACATGCAAGGGATTCATTAAAATATCTGACTCTGAATTCATTCTGGAAAGCCCCCACAAACATTTTTTAGTTCGAGTGAACGACCTTAATAGTTTCCTCATTGAAATTGGTTAAGTACTCCCTTAAATATTTTGAAGGCCCTTGGCGAACATTGAACAAGATGGTGGTAGACATCTTCTTGTGTTCTCTTGCTGAAAATTGGTGGACCGAGATCTTAATTATTTTTACATCAATGTATTTTACTAAAATAGTAGTTTGTGATACTATGCATTTAATCATCTGTAGTTCCTGGAAGCACATATATCTACATGTTCGCTTGAAAGTCGTAATGTACTTCACTGACGAAGGATTCATTAAAATACCCGACTCTAAAGCCATTTTGGAAAGCTCCCATGAACATCTCCTAGTTCGAGCGAACAACCTTGATAGTCGCCCCGTTGAAACAAGCAAGGTACTCCCTTCAAGATTATGAAGGCCCTTGGCGAACATTGAACAAGATGGTGGTGGACATCTTATTGTATTTGCTTGTCGAAAATTAATGGACTGACTTGGTTACAAGGTCTTGATAAGTGGTGAGTGACAGACGTGGTAGGCTCATGTATCACTCTAGTGTTGCATCCTTGAAGGTGTTGGAGAGGAGTATACATTTCAAAGAGTATGAGGCTCAAATAATTTCCATCTGCATGTTAATGGAGGTGACATGTTCTTGGGGGTCACTTCTTCAATCAAACTTTGCGAGTTAGTGAGGCTTGAAGCTATCTAGTACGGGGGCTCCCAAATATTTTCGGAGAGAGGATAAGGATCCATGCTTTATGTCTCCTCAACAGGATTTATCCTCCAAAATCTATTCATGGCAATGCAAATCATATATAATGGTGCATCTTTATGGTATAGCCTCATAATCATCATTAGATTTATTGCATGCTAAAGTAGCTTCTCGCTTATTTACCATATCAAAGAAGATGGTGGAGGCAAGCAATGAATTGGTCATTAATTACAAGGGTGGCCCATGTTACTTTTATCATGGCCCTACGGTGGGCTTCAGTTGTACTTTTTAAAAAAGTACAATGAAGGGAAACCCCCTGTTGTGCAGGGTGCTAGAGGGTTTATGGTTTTTGAGTGTGGTGAGAGCTCACCTATATATGGGTTGTGGAGATATCATATGTGGAGTTTTAGGGAATTTTGTGGTCTATTTCCCTTCTCTCAATGAGTTATATAAGAGATACGTTGGGTTTGGATTAGAGGCCAAGGTAAGGAGTTCCTCTTATTTCGATTGACGTCATGGGAGTGGGAAAACCATATTATTTCCTACAATCGTGGATAAGTAGTTATTCCCTCTCCATTGACTGAGTTTGTGCGTGCCACATAGTTCCTTTGTTGAATTAGTAGGAAACATGATTGGGTTAGGACGGCTAAGCCTAAGACAAATACGACGGCCAACTTTGAGACATCCATAATGTCTATTTGTTCATTTGACTCGTTGAATGTTTCCATGCTAGTACCCCCCAATGTTGGTGCAATTGCTTTGACTTGTGTCATTTGAGCTATTCCTTCTAAGGCCTAATGAAATAATCGTAGTCTATATACCATATACATAATTTATTAAATGTATATGATTTTTTTCATATATGAATTGAAATTCTGGCACTGTAATAACATAAATCAAAACTGATATCTCAATAACACACAATGTCACGACAGGTGTTATAACATTTGCTGATAGAAAAACAGATTTGCTGAAAACAGAAAGATTATGCAGAAAAGTAAATTACAGAAGCTTAAAGAACACAATCAATTGTTAACTTTGTTTGGTGTAATTCACCTAGATTTAGGGGCTACCTACATTTAGTATCAATTTGAAGCTAAACAGTCACAACTTACAACTTCTCACTTAATCCCACCCAGTGCTCTCCTAGATATGAGAACCTCTCTCACTCCCCCGCGGTGATATTAAACAATCTCAATCCCAGAGAATATCTCAAGAAACCAAAAAGAAGATTACTCTTCCAATACACAAATATTTAGTTTTGCTTAAAAGCTTTAACTAAGAACAATACTCAACTCTTTGCTTAAAAGCTTAGAGAAGAACAATAACTTGATAAACAAGTAACAATCAGTCAAGTTTAATGCATCAAAAAATACATGAGGACGTACAAAAACACACGAAAACCTAAGGACCTCTAAACCCTTATTTTTGCATTCTCAATTTACAAAAAAAAAATGCTTTTAAAAAACCAGGTCTTGGACGTCCCCTTAAATAGACTCTTGTAGTGGGATTGGACTCTTCAATTAAATCCAATCAGTAGCTCCAAATCCCTACAAAATTTTCTCCATAAAAATAGAAACAAATCTCATAAATGTTTCCTAAAAAGTCTCAAAGATCATTTTTACGAAACTAATCAAATATTCACTTTTGTTCCTAATTAATCTCCTTGACATGCGCATAATAATGGTGAATATACAAAAGGATATCATCAAATCAAATCCAATCTATCAAGATATACACAACAATTGCGCTTGTTGTACACAAATCAAGATGTCACGACATCTGTCTTCGACATCTTGCTAAAACACATAACAGTAAAATTGTTAACAATTGATGAAGATGTTACAACATCTTACTCAACATCAGTAACATGAAACAATAAGGAGTAAATGTTATTAACAAAATGGATCATTGACAGTTTTTATATTTTCCGTCTTCAAATTTGTCTCGTTGATGAATCCTCATCCTTTAAATCTCTGACGAGGATGAATAATTAAATCTCAACCTCATCCCAAATAAATTAGGGTATTTCACCCCACCTTTGTCTTAACAATGAAATCAATTTAAAAAAAAAATAACTATTTTCTCGAAATCCATAACCTTCGGTGATCTCATAATTCTCCCTAAATACATACTACTAATATTTTAAACTATCAAAATCAAATAAAATACAAATCATAATATGAATGCATTAACCATACAATCAATATTTTTAAATTATAAAAAAAACAAATAATCTAATTATCAAAATCAAATAATAAAATACAAATCCATATTTCAAACTACCATAAAAACAACAACATAATAAAAAATATTCTACATTCTAAACTATCATCAAAATAATCACATAACCAAAATTATTCTTCACCATCGTGCATTGAAATTTCTAACATAATAGATAAATAGACAACATCATCGTGCATTGAAATTTCTAACATAATAGATAAATAGACAAAATCAATATTGTTTTCTTTTATCTTGATATAAATAGAGGAGATACAAACTAAATACTAATATCCTCAGTATCCATCTCTTGTCTCTTGAAATTGAAAAAAAATACTCAAATACAAAACTAAATCCAATCAAAGAGATCAACAAAATATATAGCTAGAGTATATTCATTATTTTTAAAACCTTGATTATAACATATACTTCACCTAATCCATCCAATCAATATAACAAAAAAAACATTATTATTCAAAACAAAAAATAATGACCAACTAAAAAAAACTCTAACTACATCTTTTAGATCTCTCACCCACCTGATAATGAATAAAATTATCCTCTTACTTTCGTAAATACATCTTCGAAAATATCTTTTTTTTAGTGTTGTTTTGTTCCGTAGATGCATATACCAAAGTTTCCGTAGATATATTTACAAAAGTATTTTGGCGTTAAACTAGCGTCAGACCATTCCCCCCCTCATTCTGTACTTTTTTTAAACTCTCAACTCTCATACTCTCTCAACCTCAAAAATCAAATTTTTCGAATAATGCATTTTTTTCCACTGAGTTCGGCCGACAATGTCAACATCAACTATCAACACATTCCATCAAGTTCAAAACTCAATTTAATCGGTAAGTTTTCGATTTTTCGAGTTCTTTTCGAATATTTGTAATAGAGTTAGAATTCAATTTTTAGGTGTAGAAATGATTGGATAGTTTTAGAAATATAGTTTAGAGACAATGTAAGTATGATTAGGTTGGCAGATGAGGCATTTCTGTACCGTCGATATCATGTCAGGACAGGTGGGGCACTTGACGCTAGAGGTGGAGCCAGCAGAGGACGTCGTGGACGCAGAGGCGGAGGCGGGACCAGAGGAGAGGCAGATGATGATGTTCGACACACATAATAGTGATGCTTGTGATTTTTTTATGATGTATTCGACATTATGATCGACGATGTATACAATATACTTTTTTTAGTCTATCATTTACTATTACCTTTAAAATACATTAATTTAATTTACTATAATTTGATTTTCTATATTTATAATAAAAATTGAATTTTTGAGTGAAATGAATATGATTTGAAAATATATTCCGTTAATACATCTAGAGAACACTGAGTTATCAACACGTTCTGTAGATGTATTAAAATACTTTTGGATATATATCTACAGAAGCATAGGCATAAATAAAATTTCGCCAAATGACTAAGAGAATCAAGGGATGCATTGAAAAATTCTAAAAAAAAACACAAATTGCATGTTTTTTATTAATTAATCTTAATGAAACATTAATAGAAAAAGAAAGTGTAGAAGACTTTTTAAGAGTTTCCACTTTCAACATCTGGATACAGACAATATAGCAGTTAGAAAACACATAGCCGCCTCATCTTCTTCTTTCTTCTTCTTCTCATGAATCAAAACTAGAACAAGAAAAAGAAACAAACAAAAAAATGGGTTGTGGAAACATGTTCTTCACAATCCTCATAACATTTTCAGTAACACTCATAACATACAACATAATCATTTCAGGAAACGCTCCTTTGAAACAAGATTTTCCTGGTGGTCCTTCACGTCGTCCTTCAATTACCATTGACCCAATTATCAAGATGCCATTGGAGAAGCAAAAATCTTCTAGGAGATTGTTTCATACTGCTGTAACAGCTTCAGATAGTGTTTACAATACTTGGCAGTGTAGGGTTATGTATTATTGGTTCAAGAAGTTTAAGGAAGATTCAGATTCTGATATGGGTGGATTTACAAGGATTTTGCATTCTGGGAAAGCTGATCAGCTTATGGATGAGATCCCTACTTTTGTTGCTCAGCCTTTGCCTTCTGGAATGGATCAGGTTTTGGTTTTTGTTCTTTGTTGAATCAGTTTTCTGGGTTTGGTTGAATTTGATTTTTTTTGTTGTATATATGCTGCATGTTAAACTCTATGTAGCACCGACACCTTTAAAAAATGTGTGTCCGTCTTATTGACTGTGTCGTGTCTGGTGTCTGTGTTTCATATTTTGGGAAGAAATTGTTATATATGAGTATTGTCTATGGCAGGGTTACATAGTGCTTAATAGACCATGGGCATTTGTACAATGGCTTCAACAAGCAGATATCAAAGAAGAGTATGAGATGTTTGACTTTGAATTTCATTTGGTTTTCTAGGATTTTGGTTTTGACTTTTGTTAATGTGTTTTGTGTTTTTTGTAACATCAGTTACATTTTGATGTCGGAGCCGGATCATATAATTGTGAAACCTATACCGAATTTAGCAAGAAATGGAATGGGAGCAGCGTTCCCTTTCTTTTATATTGAGCCGAAGAAATATGAGAATGTGTTAAGGAAGTACTACTCCGAGGAAAATGGACCTGTGACGAATATAGATCCAATTGGGAATTCGCCAGTGATTGTTGGGAAGGTATATGTTGTTTAGTTTCTTGTGGTGATTATGGATATTTCTTATTTTAGGAAAAAAGTTTAATTTGATTTGCGAATATGATAGGAATCGCTTAAGAAGATTGCTCCTACTTGGATGAACGTTTCGTTGGCGATGAAAAAAGATCCTGAAACTGATAAAGCTTTTGGATGGGTGCTTGAAATGTAATTTTCTTTCTCTTCACATTATCCTTTCTTAGCCTCACAATTACTTGATTGACTTTTTATGCTATTTTGTATCATTGTTTTAGGTATGCTTATGCCGTTGCGTCTGCTCTTCATGGTGTTCATAACATATTATACAAAGACTTTATGATTCAGGTTCAATAAGGTTCTCTTTTTAGTATATTTTTTACTGTATGTGTGTTAGTAAGGTTCTTGTTCCGGTTGACCTCAAATCCACGTCACTCTGGCTACATGGTATTCTGATTCTTTGTTCTATATGGAAATCACATAGAATAATAGCGCTTGAACAATAATGTATTCATAACTTTTTTCGTTTTCTAATATTGTACTAAGAGACAGGCTTACACGGTCTTTAAATACCGAATTCATCAAAAGCATGATGATATATATCTTCAAATTTACGAACATTTTCTTTGTTTATTATGTGTTAGCCTCCATGGGACAAAGAACTTGGTGAGAAGTACATAATTCACTACACTTATGGTTGTGACTATAATATGAAGGTACTCATCTATAATTCAATTCTTAATAAAAACAACAATACATGTATGCATTTTTTGTTCTGATACCTTAATTTGTTACTACATATATGGCGTAAAATATTCAGGGCGAACTGACCTATGGGAAGATTGGAGAATGGAGGTTTGATAAAAGATCTTATGATAGTGTTGCTCCTCCAAAAAATCTGACATTGCCACCACCCGGTGTACCAGAAAGTGTGGTATGTTTCATCTCCCTTTGTGTTAGTTCGGTTATTTTTTCGAATTCCGTTTAGTTTTTTTTCTTCAAGCTTTTCTTGTAAAGAATGATTCAGAAACTTAAGAATTGAGATTATTATGTAGAGTTTTACAAGTCGGCTTTCGTTTTCTAGGTGACCCTTGTAAAAATGGTTAATGAAGCTACAGCGAATATTCCGAACTGGCCATCATAGGGCTTTTGCGTGGTCGATGTGTTCAAAATGCCGAGACTGTTTTCCATTTCACATGTTGGCAACTGTGTATCTGTAATTCTTATGTAGATGACTTACACTTGAAGCAAACATGGAAATTTTTTCAATGCTTGATAAAAAATGTGTTGTGTTTTCAGTATGTGTCCAAATTGGAATGTTTTCTTTTCATTTTATTGATTCTGTATGTAGTTGAGAAGATTGACAATGAATCAAGAAGAAAAAAAAAGCAATTGTGATCAAATCTGTAACCAATGTAGTATACTAATAAACCTTCATTTAAGTGATGCCATAAATGAAATATTTGCCTTTGGAAAGAGGCAACATGTTTCGAAGTATTTTTATTGTAGTATAATAAAACTTCATTCAGTGATTGCCATAAATGAGTTTTTGCCTTGGTAGTTGGTACAGAGGCGACATGTTTTAAGAGTCATAAACAATCACTGCAAAGTGCTCAGCGACTTAATGCAGAAGCTTACCAAACATTAAAATACAGAGTTTTCTTTTTGTAGGATTAGAATACAGAGTTACTCTAGGAGCAGCTTCCCCAAAGAATTAAATGCTATTTAGTTACCTGAGTGATTTTCATATCTAACACTAGGGACGTTCAAAACCAAACCGACCTAATAGAAAATTGTAAAACCGAACTAAATTGAAACTGCAAAAAATCGCATTTGATTCGGATGTGTTTATGTCATTTTCTAACGGAACCGCGTAGTTCAATTCAGTTTGCGGTTTGTATTTTGCAAATCGAACCAAACCAAACCGCATTATATTATAAAATCTTATTAATCAATATATATATATATATATATATATATATATATATATATATATATATATATATATATATATATATATATATTGTGGGATTTTGGATCGAACTCTAGTATGGTCGAAGTACATGCTGTAGTCGAAGAAGGGTCTAGCATGTATTTGTCGAAGATGCTTATTAAATTAGGTTTTAGTGTTTAAACCCTAATTTGTTAAGTTAGCTTGTTTATTAAGTTAGCTTGTATAATGGGCCTTATGGAAAAAGCCCATTAGTTAGTATGTTAGGTTTTATTATAAATAGCATACTAGTCTCTCATCATTGCAACACAGCAAATCCTAATTTAGGGTGAGAGGGTTATTTGATATTCTTGTAAACTTGTAATCTTGTTTTCTAAGAGAAAGTAAAGAATAGCAGTTATAACCAATTCTTGTGTTCTTCTTCTTCCTTGTTAGTTATTCCTCCCTATATTCTATACTTAGTTATTGGCATTGAATTCACAACAAATTGGTGCGGTGAGCGTGGAGAAGATGCCTTCAACAAAGTATGAGATTGAAAAGTTCACCGGAGTGAATGATTTCGGTCTATGGCGCTTAAAGATGAAAGCCCTACTGGTTCAGCAGGGTTGTTTGGAAGCGTTGAAGGGAGCGACGACGATGGACGCTGCGTTAACAGAAAGAGAGAAGACGGCCATGATCGAGAAAGCACACAGCGCAATTTTGTTGAGCCTTGGTGATAAGGTTCTTCGACAGGTATCAAAGGAGACGACGGCGTCAGGGTTATGGGTGAAACTTGAAAGTTTGTATATGACCAAATCTCTGGTAAATCGACTCTACCTGAAGCAAGCTTTGTATTCGTTCAAGATGATTGAAGACAAAGTGTTGGCTGAGCAGTTGGATATGTTCAACAAACTGATTCTTGATCTTGAAAATATTGATGTAAAGATTGATGATGAAGATCAAGCGCTGTTATTGTTGTGCGCTTTGCCCAGATCACATGCTCACTTCAAAGAAACCCTCTTGTATGGAAGAGAGTCCCTGACCTTTGAAGAAGTTCAATCAGCCTTGTACTCTAAGGACTTGAACGAACGCAAGGAGCATAAACCTTCGACGGTTGGTGAAGGTTTGGCTGTTAAAGGAAAATTCGACAAGAGGAAAGGTAAAAATCAGTCGAAGTCTTATAGTGGTGACACATCTGGTATTAGATGCTATCACTGTAAGAAAGTAGGTCACACAAGAAAGGTGTGCCCTGAACGCCTGAAAGATCATGGAGGTAAGGATAATGGCAATGCAGCTATTGTCCAAGATGATTTCGAATCATCTGATGTTCTTGTGGTTTCAAGCAACAACTCGTCGAAGGAGTGGATTATGGATTCTGGATGCACTTGGCACATGACTCCAAACAAAGACTTGTTCGAGGAATTATGTGATCAAGATGGTGGATCTGTATTGCTGGGAAACAACAAAGCTTGCAAGATTGCAGGCGTTGGATCTGTGAGATTCAAGCTCCATGATGAGTCAATAAGATTGTTGACTGAAGTCAGGTATGTACCTGATTTGAAGAGAAATTTGATTTCTCTTGGTGAATTCGACAAGAAAGGATATGTGTTTCAAGGAGAGAAAAGTATCCTGAGAGTCATGAAAGGGTCGAAGGAAGTCTTGAGAGGCGTGAAGAAACAAGGCTTGTATACCCTTGAGGCTGAAGTTGTAAGTGGTTCGACAAATGTTGCATCCACGAAACCTTTGTCGAAGACAGAAATTTGGCACATGAGATTGGGCCATGTCAGTGAAAGGGGTCTGGTCGAATTAGGGAAACAAAATCTGCTTGGTGGAGATAAAGTCGAAAAGCTGAAGTTTTGTGAACCCTGTGTACTTGGAAAGTCCTGTAGAATGAAGTTCAACAAAGGCAAACAAAGAACACATGGATCCCTTGATTACATCCATGCTGACCTTTGGGGGCCTGCAAGGTGTCCATCACATTCAGGAGCAAAGTATTTTCTATCCATAGTAGATGACTATTCCAGAAAGTTATGGGTATTCATCCAGAAGACTAAGGATGAAACTTTTGAAAATTTCAAAAGTTGGAAGACTCTTGTCGAAAATCAAACTGGCAGAAAGGTAAAGAGGTTGAGAACCGACAATGGCCTTGAGTTTTGCAATGAGGCGTTCGACAGTTTTTGTGTTGCCTCTGGTATTGCAAGGCACAGAACGACCGCAGGTACTCCACAACAAAATGGTTTGGCTGAAAGGTTTAATCGAACTATTTTGGAGAGAGTTAGATGCATGTTGACTAGTGCTGGATTAAAGAAGGTGTTTTGGGCTGAGGCTGTTTCGACAGCAGCATATCTGATAAACAGATGTCCTTCGACAGCGTTAGATATAAAGACACCCGAAGAAGTTTGGTCGGGACATCCACCAGATCTCGACAAACTAAGAGTATTTGGCTGTGTAGCCTATGCTCACATTAGGCAAGACAAGGTCGAACCTAGAGCTCTGAAATGCATGTTTATGGGATACCCTGAAGGAGTGAAAGCTTATAGGCTATGGTGCCTAGAGCCAGGTCACAGGAGGTGTATCACCAGTCGAGATGTAGTTTTCAATGAAACTGAAATGGCTTTCAAGAAAACTGATGATGTTGACGAAGAGCTGGAACAGGTAGAGATTCCTGTTGAGGTGGAGCATGTTGATGCTGAAATGCGTATCCCAGATGAAGTCGAAGAAGAAACAGAAGATTCTGATGATGTTGAGGAAACTGTTGATGACTACCTATTGTCGAGAGATAGGCAAAGAAGAGTCATAAAACCACCTCAGAGACTTGGATATGCAGATCTTGTAGCTTATGCCTTAATCTCTGCAAGTGAAGTTCTAGACGAAGAACCTAGAGATTATAAGGAAGCTATAAGGAGTCGAATGAAGACTGAATGGCTAAAGGCCATGCATGATGAGATGAAATCTCTTCATGATAATCACACTTGGGAACTGATCAAGAAACCTGTTGGGGCAAGGTTAGTCAGCTGTAAGTGGATTTTCAAAGTTAAGGAAGGAATTGAAGGAGTAATGTCGAAGAGGTACAAGGCAAGATTAGTCGCAAGGGGTTTCACTCAGAAAGAAGGTGTCGACTTCAATGATGTATTTTCCCCTGTTGTGAAGCACAGATCCATTCGAATGTTGCTTGCCATGGTGGCTCAGTTCGACCTTGAACTGGAACAAATGGATGTGAAGACTGCGTTCTTGTAGTGACTTAGACGAAACAATCCTGATGAGGCAACCTGAAGGGTATGTCGAAAAGGGGAAAGAAGATTATGTGTGCAAACTGAAGAAATCTTTATATGGACTTAAACAATCTCCTCGACAGTGGAATAAGAGATTCGACAAGTTCATGGAACACATAAGTTTCATTAGAAGTCAGTTCGACCATTGTGTTTACTCCAGATTTCGACCTGAAAATTCATTTGTTATTTTGTTGCTCTATGTTGATGATATTCTGATAGCAAGCAACAATGTCGAAGATGTAATGAGGGTGAAGGCTGAACTCAATAAGGAGTTCGACATGAAGGATCTGGGAGCTGCATCTAGGATTCTTGGAATTGACATTCGAAGAGATAGAAAGCAGTCGAAATTATGCTTATCTCAAGAGGCATACCTACGAAAGATTCTTGACAAGTTTGGTATGTCGAATTCAAAGCCTGTTGTGATTCCAACAAACCCTCAATTCAAGCTGAGCATTGATCAATGTCCCAGTACTGATGTCGAAAGAACCTATATGAACAGCATCCCATATGCTAATATAGTTGGTTCTTTGATGTATGCTATGGTCTGTACTAGACCCGACATAGCATATGCAGTAAGTCTTGTAAGCAGGTACATGGCGAATCCTGGAAAGGCTCACTGGCAAGCGTTAAAGTGGATTCTAAGGTACATAAATGGGTCTCTGAACAGAGTCTTAATTTATGGTGGAGCCTTGGGTGAAGATAGTAAAGCAGCTGTCGAAGGCTATGTTGACTCTGATTATGCAGGCTGTATGGATTCCAGAAAATCTATTTCTGGATATGTTTTCACTATGTTTGGTACAGCAATTAGTTGGAAAGCAACTCTTCAAAAGGTTGTTGCCTTATCAACTACTGAAGCAGAATATATTGCCCTAACTGAAGCTGTGAAAGAAGCATTGTGGCTTGAAGGTTTTGCAAAGGAACTGAAACTTCAAGGTCAAGGTA